GATAGTGTGTATCTGGGAGATCTGTTCTAAGTCGCTGTTTATGAAATCCAACTTCACACGTTAACAATAACTCATGCAATTATGTGACAACTGGATGATAATTCCTGTAGCTACTTAATTATGTGATTAAATTGATATAGGAAAAAGCACTGGAGGATCTGTGTAAGCCTTCGGAGAACCTAATGCATCTGTGGCCATTGATCTAATATTCAAAGTGTTACAAGTGAAAACCAGTAGGCTACCAGAGATTTCTTAACAGAAACTGTTACATACCATAGTTATGATTTTTTTTAATGACTAATGAGATAAAAGGTGGGACGTTAGTAAATCTAGAATCAAGACATGACTTAATGAATGTAAAAACAATTTCAAGTAAACAGAAAAAAACATGCGTAGCTACAAAACAAGATTCTTTGAACTGATTAAAACCAAGATGAACAATGAGCAGAACTATGGGACGTGGGAAGAAAAGCGTTTCCCATTATTTTTCAACCATTTTGAAGGCAGTGCTGTGAAATTAGCATGCAGGGGAACTGGGAAACTGCTGTTTATTGATGATTTAGCTGCTGAGTCAAATGGCGATGTGGCAATGTCTCAGTGTAAACATGGATAATAACAAGCAATATATACAGCAAAACAAACATGAGCTCCTTCAGACCGATAGTCAAATGTCTGAGTCAGTCCCCTAAGCTCAACCCAACAGCTACATCTAAGGCCTAGCAAAGTAAATACTATGTTTTCCTCTGGGGAGCCAACACAGTATTAGGTGTCCTTGGGTTAGACAGACAATGACTGCAACAATTAATTAAATATAGATTGACTTTTATTTTTTGGAGTTTGAGTCAAAGATATTAACATCTTAGCTAATGTTAGCTAAAACAAGTATAAGATAAAGGTTCCAGATAACACAGCTACAAAAACACTGTGTGTTGCTAGCAAAGCATTAATAGATTAATATTTAGGATTACAGATGAGGTCTCAGTCCTGAATCATATTTAAAGTTGCTATTTAGTATTATTCATCAAGCTGACCATCATGCACATTTAAAGCTGAATAAAATGTAATTTTCAGTGGCAGCAACAATGTTATGAAGCTGCAACAATTATTCCTTAAAACAAATGCTGCTCTGTGGTCTTTCTTGACTATAACACGGAGCATAATTTACAACATTTAAATCACACTGCATTCACTCGCAACAGAGATCATAAACTCGGGTAGCAGACGACAGTTTTAGTCATTAGAGCAGGTTTAAGGAATCATGAACTGCTTTCAACTTTCAGAGTCGTACACTATGTTAATCTTTTTTATACAGTCTATGACCTAAAAAGACTAAAGCTGAGCTGCTTCGGCCAAACTAAGTATAACGATTTGGGTGGAGGGAATTCCCTGACTAGTGCCACCCAGAGGCCACACTGTCACAGCCACAGAAAGTGGAACATGTAGCCTACTTTTAGAGCAGGTTAACTAATGTGATCATTGTTAAATTTGATAAGAATGTTTTGTTTACGACTGCAAAACCAATCTGACGCTTTAAGTGACCCACCGGGTATGCTCCTGAAAGTCCGGATTTGCCACTGACTGAGGAGGATGTGTCAGTATTAACTGTTCCAAAACACAATTGAGGTAACAGGTCAGCGCAGTAGGTTAATAGTTCATTTCTGTTGTTAATGGGCTGTTTAACTTATTTTCCAAAGCCTGTTGTCTCCGAGGGGACTCATTGTAATGCACTAAATATAAGTGTGACTCAGCTCCTTGGCTGTAAATCACAAAGTAGCTGTCAGGTTTCAAATATCTGATTCTGAAAGAAATTCCTCATCTGCACAGTTTCATTGTGGATCTTTCACTGGCTACAAACATTACCATAACTGTAACATTATATGATAGCAGCACTGCACCAGTGTTCCTAGCTGAGGACGTTGCAAGGACAGCAGCTGTGTTGCACCACCTTCTCCTGTCTTAGCCGTGAATGTCTAACCTATTTGACACAGTGAAAAGTGAGCGAAGATTTCTCATCTCCAAGCAGGCCAAAGCAGATTATACGGACAACTCAGGTTCCTCCACAAAACAGATTAACACAGAGTAATTACTTTTGGCATGCTCGCTCCGTAAACACTTTAATCTCTCCGGAACAGCAGTTCATTTCAGGGGAAAGCTAAGGGTCCTCAAAGCTGCTGTAGTGGTTTACCTTAATCCCTAACTCTGCAGTTTTGTTGAGTCCACTTCTTGCACAGGTAGCAGACATGCAGATTTGATAAGAACCCTTCCTCGGACAAGGACTTTACACCAGGAAAAGGATGGACCCCAAAACTGGAGGGAGTTGTAAATTTTCTTTATATTTTTCTACTTTTGTATTTCCAACTGTGTCTCTCTTCATGTTAGCACTTGCTAAAATTTTCCACCTTAGATTAGGAAGCAACAGTGGGTTAAACAAAGACATTTCTAAAATGTGAAGTTAAGTAGGGATCTATCTCTTAATGTAAATTTACATATCACCTGAGAGGTAGAGATGATGCTAGGTAAAGGGCTTTTTGGTTTTGTTTTACTCTGGCTGTTTTTCCCACGTCACAGCGAGATGTTTCGAGGGTAGGACTGGAATTCCGCTAGTTCTGAACTATTCGTGTTTGTCAAAAGTTCACTACTAGCAGAACTCAGATCTGCTCCCGACTATCGACTGGTATCTCCATGACCATAGTCACTAAGAGGTCTGGTTTATTCATTCACTGTCTTAGGTAATTTCCAGTCATTAACTTGCAGTGACAGGAAATGACTGCAAATTGCTCCACTGGTGTGACGTGAACCAGCTCCATCTTTGCCAATCTTTACTTTCTTGTGTTTACTTCACACCAGATAATTCTGATTTATTTCAAATCTGTGTTTGAGGAGGATTTGATGATCAAAGTTTTTACTCCTTCTCTCCTGCTGTACAGATGTGCAAAAAAAGAAATCAATTCCAGAAATATTAGTATGATGTGTGATTGTGTGACTTTCACTTCTTAGCAACAATGTTTCTCAGTAATCTTAGTTTTTAGTATTTTGGCAAGGACTGTTTTTTTGCAAAGGGTTAACAGAGTTATAGATCCAAAATGTAACTTGCAATTTTCCTTTAGGTTTTTGATTTTTTTTTTTTTAAAAAAGCACCAAAGGAGTAGTTATAGTTCCATTTTTAGATTTGTTTGTGCTTTCAGTTGCAGAAAATCCCTGATATGAGTCACTGTGAGGTCAACAAACCTCCTTACATCAGTTAATATTTTGATTTCAAGCAAGCAAAAACAGAGAATATTTGGCTGCAGCTGCCTGAAAGATTTGACCTTCAACCATCACAATCATCTGGAATATAGAGTTTCTTATATGCATGTGTAGGTACATATAAGAAACTGCATGTTTTGATCTAATCGAACATTTGTTATGATTATGGTATGGAGGTGGATGCCTCAGAGGCACAGTGTCCTCTGATTGCTTCCCCATCAGCATGAATTTGAAGAAATCTACCATTTTATGAGGAAAAGGGCTTTCTCTGCAAGAAAAACCGTTTTGTATTTTTATTTTACAAAGATAAAAGTTGATCTTTTGTGTCTCATCCCCATTCGTTCATAATCAATAAAGACCATCTTACAAGTACACTCTAGGTGAATTGTAAGCCAATAGTGCTGCAATGGGATTAATGGGTTCTCTGTTAATCTCTATTGGGACTGCTGTGAAAGGTCATTAATTATGACACTATCTGTAGGCCAAATGCTGCAGATCCTCACCTTTTGCAGCACAGTAGCAAATTAACAATTATATTTAAATTTAACACACAAAGTGGGTGTTTCCTCAGCAGACTCAATAATATTAAACACTTACTGAAAACTGTAATGTGGCTTTTGCATTATGTTTGAATTGCATACAAATGTCCTGAAAATAAATGTAACCATTTTCTTTACCATATTTAGCTGTGATTGATGCAGGGTTTCAAATATTAACAAGGACTTGGAGATAAATGCTGCTTTCTGAGCATCTATAAATAGAAGCTATGAAACAAATCCATGAGCTGTGAATAAATCAGAAGAGTGAGGTTGGTTTGCATCATTGTTAAAGCTTTTTTCTTTTCTTTTCCCACTTCCATTTCAATGTGAATGTTTACAGGAGTGTGTTTCTGCTGTACTTGTCTTCACTCAATAACTTTTACAGGCTTGCTAGGTGTGTGCATGTGTTTGTGTTTCTGCATAAAGAGTACACCATGAAAGACTAAACTAAAGTGCGAAACTAGAACCATTTCCTTCACTTCAATAACATTGATGTGCATTTGTGGATTTTCCTTTTACCTCAAGTATATCCTGTTGATCCCACGAGCCCATCTATGTGATGAGCTGATCCAGGAGCAGTAAATGTTGTAAATTTTATCTACTGTTCTGATTTTATCTGTTTTGATTTTATATACTGTTTTGTTTGTTTGTTTGTTTGTTAATTAGTTAGTTAGTTTATTTGCTTGTTTTAATCAATTTTAAATCATGCTTTTTATTTGTTCTTGTTTCTAATGTCTCTGTAAAGCACTTTGAATCACCTTGTTGTTGAATTGTGCTATACAAATAAACTTGCCTTGCCTTGCCTAAATACAAGCAGCAACATTGTGTCCAGTTTATTGGTTTTCTCTTGCACTACACCACTACACATTAAAAAGATAAACAAATATATTATTTCGGGCTTCCTATAATAACTGCAGCACAACTTATCAAACATATTTACACATATTTCTATCATACTGTAAGTATTTCTGAAACCTAATATGGGTTTTCATGACCTGAATGTTATACTGGAAAAAAAAACAACTAAAAACTAAACAAAACAAGATTGTTAAAATAAAATATAATGCTAAAAAGGTATGCTTTAGTATCATGTCCATCATTATGTGCAGTGATGAGCCTTTTAAAGACACAAATAGTTGCTTCATCAATGAAATTTATTTCCTTTTTGTTAAACATTTTTACTGCATAAAACTATGTATCTGTAACAATAGCAAAAATACGTTTGTCACATTATTAGCATTTCTGTGCTATGTTCAGTATGCGAGCTGTCCAAATTGGGCACGAGTAACCTATGCAGGTGCAACTTTAGAGACTTCAGTGGTGGATTGACTTGATGACTCTTCATCGTCACCTCCGCTCATTCCCAGCATCTGCCTTATACACGAGCGGAACTAAAAGAGAACAAAGAGAAAGGTTTTGGTCACTTCTTGTTAAACTTTTTAGTAGTCCTTGTAAAAAGCCATCTTAGTCACATTAAAGTGTCTCAGGGGAGATGGAGGGGACTCACAGACCACCACTCAGTGCAGCATTAGCATGTTACCAGCAGTGATGGATAAAAGCAAAAGCTGGCACAACAAAAGTCAGCGTGATTGGAGGGTAGTAACTTATTATTTACTCCCTCTTGATGTTTTTTTTTTTTACATTTTCATGAAAATTGACAATAAATGAGTGTCTTCTTTTTGTTCCATGTTTATTTAGGCTCAACTGTCTGTCAGATTTTGTCTTGGAGGATGGGTCAACCCTTTTGTATTTTCTAACAGCCACCATTAGGGGGCGTCCGTGGCCGACTCAGTCACAAGCTCAAATAAAAACAAAACAAAACACAAAGCTGATGATCCATGTTTGTTACCCTGCTTAAACTAAGCAAAGCTTCAGTTTAGTGAAATGGATTCAAATTTAGGCTAAGTTAAATTTATTTCACTTTGAGCTGCCAAAGATTTTTACCTGCTTATTGAGGAGGATGTAAATGACTGGGTTGTAGACTGTGGAGGCCTTTGAGAAACAGGAAGGAATGGTGGCCAGTCTCAGGTCGAATGGCTGCCCACGGTTATTCACAACCCAGATGGCAAAGGAGGCATATGGCATCCAGCACACCAGAAAGCCCAGCACCATAATCACCACCATCCTGGTCACTTCCTTCTCTGCCTTCTGGGTAGAGGCAGACTCTGCTTGGGCCTTTACTGCCTTTTGAGACAGATCATTTGTCAGAATCAGCATCAGACTGGAAAATTGTAAGTATAAAAATATATTTTTTCCTTCATTCCCACCCCTTCCCTGGTTTGTTTTGCCTTCTAGTATTTCCTTTTAATAAACAAAACTAAACACAACACAATCACCCTAAACATAGGATACGACAATTGCTAACCAATGTCATATTGCCTACCGCTTTCAGCATGAACAGCAGCTGTGAGTAGCAGAAGACGATGGTGGAGAAAGGGACAGCAAAGCAGAAGCAGAAGAGGAACATCACGTAGGTTTCATTGTTAAACTTGTTGCCTGTTGTGTACCAGTCTGGGCCACAGGAACACTGCATGCCCTCTGGGATATACCTAGAAAGAGAAACAATTATTTTCCGCTGTGGTATATGTATACATATGTTATTAGTCCTAAGAGAACCATTTACATCAAGGTTAGAGCAAATTAATTATAAAGTGCTTAATCTATATGTACTCACCTGCTCCATCCAAACAGAGGTGGAAGTGCAGCGCTCAGACCGCAGACCCAAGTCAATCCACAGCATGCTATAGCGTGGCTGGACTTGAAGGCAAAGTTCCCAAGTGGCTTGCACACAACCAACCATCTTTCAAATGCTACCACAGCAAGAGACCACAAGCTAACCATACCTGCAAGAGGACAAAGATAACGATAACTACGTTAATATTTAGAAACAGCAGCTGCTTTTTATATATTGGCTCACATAACCACATAACCAACAACTTCTTTAACAACAACAGTGCCTTATGTGGTATTCTTTGAAAAAAAGAACATTTTGATGTTCAAAATAAAGTTAGCTTTATATAGTACCATACGGTATGCAATGATACTGGCACCAGTACACTGATAGCTCTATTTCTCCTACAAATAAGGACACAATATGTATTTTATGTGTCATGTGAAAAACAAATAGCTTATTATTATTATCATTATTATTATTGCAGTTCAGATTTTTAAAAAAATCCCTGTTGAGAGCGCTTTGGTTGACAAAAACTGGCATAGGTCAAATCTCTCACACGCATCATTTTAATTCGAGTGTAATAATATGATGCATGATGTAATCCTTTTTTCTTACTTAACAAAGTCTATAATTATGCTCCTTACCACCAAGAGTTGCTGTAAATCCTTCAATCTTGCATGCAATTGGACCAGGGAACATGTATTTAAAAGCAAAACAGATGAAGCAGGTGAAAGAGCCCACAGAGGAGACGAGGAGGTTCGCAACAGCCAGGTTCACCAGGATGTAGTTTAGATGAGACCGGAGCTTCTTGTATTGGACAGTACATGCGATAGTGAGGACATTGATGATTGTGCCGGCCACCCACAAGAAGAACATAAATGCTGACATGGAATAAAAGATCATCGGGCTTCCTAAATGGTCCTGGGGAACCAGGTATGGGCTGAAGGCTGTGATATTGTTGGTGTCCAGAGGGACGGGGATCCAGAAGTCATCTGGGAACTCAGTGGGACGATTTCCTCTCATTTTCTTAGATGGAGTTTGCGATCAAAATCTATATCTAAAATATAAAAAAAAAACCAGTTTAAAAGACTTCAAATAAACTGCATCTAATTTCAAATAGTACTCAGAGATTTCATTTTTCCCTCCGTCTTATATCTGAGATGCTCGTCTGTCTGAAGCAGAGTTAACAGCGGCATTTATAGGAACTTTGATGATTGCTGAGGCTCAACATAATTGGCTAAAGGACAGGATTTAAAGCTTTCCTTGCATTCCGATAACAACATACCCTACCCAATAGCTAATACACAGATTACTATCGCATTACCAGACTTGGCAAGGATCATCTCATTACATCCTAGTGTAAGGGCAGTGTGTTTGTGAACCATATAATCTGATCTACAGGGACTTCCAAGAGGTCAGTGCATGCATCTCACCCTCAGTACTCCTTTTTTCTGGCACAATTATTTTTCACCAAGAAGGAGTAATCAGACTTATGGAAAAGGTTTTTCTATCTGTCTCTTCATCCCTTATCTTGCTAACTACTCATCAGATCTACTTTACAGTTGGTGGTTACAGGTCCTTTGAATGAGTCATTGGTCTCTTTTTGGGGGTCTTCCCTCTATTGATTGGCAACATTATCAAACCTTTAAGATCAAATTTCTTCCCCTGCCGAGAATATCACATTCCTCTGTGACCTCTTAATTATGTCACCACTTCAGACAGCATAGTTTATATAAACTTCCACTGCAGTGAACACCGCTCTAGGCAAAATGTTAAACCACTGACAGGTGAAGTCTGTAACACTGATAATCTTGCCAGAAACTTTCTTGAACCATTGGATTTTGGTGTTTATGTGGATGTTATTTTTGTTTGTTCCAGAACAAGCAGACCCCCCTCCCCCCAGCACTGGAAGCAGGAAGGTGGTGACTGGAGTCTGTCCCAACTACAATAGGGACAGATCACCAGTCTGTGTATTGTATATATTTTATTTTCTGCCTGTAAACTCCATTTTGGCAGTTTGCATTGAGTGACAAACTTACAGACTCACTTTTAGAAGCCATGCAAAAAAAATACTTGCTCATCCTACTCTCAAACCTTTACTTTTACTACATAGTAAATGTTCTGTCACACACACTCACACACACACACACTCTCTGACTCACTCACTGGCCTGCACCAGTTACCAGTCACTTTGTGGAGCATTGGACTGCCATTACCTCATAAGACTTTGTGTTACACTATCTCATACCGTACATTACCAAATCTCCATTTGCACTATTTGCCTATTTGCACTACTCTGCCTGGTTTGCACTCAATGTCATTTACCCTTATATTGTATATTGTATAGCTTTCTTGTTATATGTAAAATTGTATTATATTATTTAATTTTTTTTACTTTAAAATATTTTACTTGCATTTTTAATCACTCTTATATTTAAATGTTCATTTTCTATTTTATCTAGGGATTGAGAGTAACGAAGTTTCTATTCTCTGTATGTCCTGTACATGTGGCAGAATTGACAATAAAGTTGACTTTGACTTTGACTTGACTTGACTTTCTATACAGCTGATTTCTAGAGGTCATCAGAGGTCAACCAGCCCCCCCACATTAATGGAATCAAACAAAACTGGTGTCAATCAACTGTGCTATGTCTGTGCTGCTTGGTGCTGCTAAAACTGTCGTTTGTGCTGCCTCTGTTTTAACGATATTAATGAAAATGTAAAGGTCAAAAGGTCAACCTGCCCCCCCCCCCCCCCCCCCCCCCCACATTACCCAAATCAAAGAAAAATTATGTCAAACATTTGTGCTACGTTTGTGCTGGTTTGTGCTGCAAAAATTTTCATTTGTGCTGCTATCATTTCAAAAATATTAATAAAATAATGTCTTGATGCGTGCTCAATCATCCAGGTAAGTAAATTCCAAAAGGTTGATTCTGTTCATCTGGACATTTTCAGTGGGAGAAACGTTTTGTCACTCATCCAAGTGACTTCTTCAGTCTCAGCTGACTGCAGGTTTCCCCAACCTTATAAACAGTGCATTTGCACAGCGAATTAAACTAGCACCACTGAATGAACAATGGGCTGGGGGGTTAGTTCCATGATTGTTAGTATGCAAATTCTTATGACCATTGATCAACGACTACTAATCCAATACACAGATTCTCGAATGGCCATGAGTACCATTCACAGAGAGTTGGGGAATGGCTGCAATCACAGCATTGAAAGATGGCGAAACATGTACCCTTGGGCCCCCCTTCTCGATTCAGAGATGGTCAGCATCTCGACAGCCTGATGGACGAAGCTGTCTCTCAGTCTGGCCCGGAGGCTCTTCAGTGTCCTTCCTGATGGCAGCAAACTGAAGAAGCTGTTGAAGGGATGAGTGGAGTCACCTGTAATGGAGAGGACCTTCCGGATGAGGCACGCGCAGTAGATCTCCTGGGGAGGGAGGCAAGAGAGGTCCCCCCAATCCTCTCCGCTGCTCTCACTACCCGTTGTCATTTTTTTCCTGCAGGACCCAGTGCAGGAGTCATACCACACAGTGATGCAGCTGGTGAGGATACTCTCAACTGTGCCTCTGTAGAAGGTGCTCATAATGGGGGTTGAATCTCTTGTGCTTCTCAGTTTGTAGAGGAAGTAGAGTCGCTTCACTCACATTGTTTAGTCTCATTATTCAGACTAATCCTTAATCACCGTGTCTTGTTAAAAACCCACATTCTTCTTAAATTTTTAATGTGAGTTGACATATTTTAAGACTAGCACACGCAGATCCCCCTTAAACATCGAATTCAACCCATTTACAGTGAAGCTGCATTAGCTTGCACACAAAAAACAAGCACTGCTAGCCCTGCTTGCCCCAACTGAAAGACGCTGGTTGTGTCTTTCAGTTTTAGTTCAGTGGTTGTGTGATGACACATAGCTGACTAGGGAATATTAACTAAGCAGGATGGCCCATCAAAAAAAAAAAATCTTCCTCTCGCCCCTGCGGGCGGTCTATCCTATCGGGTCCTCTACCAGAGGCCTGGGAGCTTGAGGGTCCTGCGCAGTATCTTAGCTGTTCCCAGGACTGCGATCTTCTGGACAGAGATCTCCGATGTTGTTCCCGGGATCTGCTTGAGCCACCTAGTGCTCCGATTACCACTGGGACCACAGATACCTTCACCCTCCACATCTTCTCAAGCTCTTCTCTGAGCTCTTGGTATTTCTCAAGTTCCTCGTGTTCCTTCTTCCTGATGTTGCTGTCATTCAGAACCGCTACATCTATCACTGTGGCCATCTTCTTCTATTTGTCTACAACCACTATGTTCGGTTGGAGCCACCATTTTGTCTGTCTGTATCTGGAAGTCCCACTGCTCTGTCATTCTCCACCACCCTTGAGGGCATCTTCCATTTTGACCTTGGGACTTCCAGGCCATATTCTATGTTTGTTTTGGGGTTGTTGTTTTTTTCATTTCCAAACCTATAAGGTGACAATTGATACAGGTGGACAGCTAGTTTTTGCTGCTGGTGACAGAGACCTGGCAGACCCTGTGACCCTGTCTTTGTTTGGATAAGTTGACCAAACATAGTAATTTCACTGACTTCTGGTTGAAAAGTCCTTTTGCATAAAAGTCTTTTGCGAAAAATCCCACAGCTCCCGTGATTGACGCTAGCACTTTTCTGAAGAATTCATGGTCACAGTTGTTTTTCTAGTCTTATGAAAGACAACATGATGTTAGTTAAACTGTGGTCTGAGAGTCAGAGAGGATGACAAACGAGGGTAAGGTTAAGAACAGATCTACCTAACTGAACAGTCACGTTGCAGTTACATGTGTATCCGATGTCCATCAGTGTCTCAGCCATGCCCACTCCTTCACTGATCATGTCCACTTTCAAAATACCAAGATGGCTGAAGGATATGACTATGGCTCATGGTGCTTATGTGAACTACAGATTTTTATGTTATAAAATACCTTTTTGAACAATATAATATTTTGTACTTTGGTTGCATGAGAGTGACCTGAATAAAATAAGTTTAAGACAATAAGACAAAAACATTTCGCTAATAAAAGTGCAAATACATATTAATCACACGCTTAATAAATATCACATTTAAAATGATAACAAAAATACTTTTATATAGCACACTATAATATACTCTCATAGTGCACTTTTTAATAACTTCTAAGTGTTGGAGAAAAACACAGAGCAAGTGAAAACGTGTTTTCAGTCAAGCACAGAGATTCAGTAAAGATTTTGTGTCTGTTTTTTATTTGCATTTTCATTTTGCAGATTATTCCTACTTAAATCATGATATTTTTACATATGATAAAATACATGTACATTCTTTGTAATTTACAGTTCAGAAATCAGCGAGCATTGACGTGTTGCCTAAGCAGGCCCGACTTTGGAAACTTCAGTCACCGATTGTGTTGTTGAGCTCTCCTCCTCCTCACCTCCTCCCATCCCCATCATCGCTAACATACATGTACGGAACTGCAAGGGAAAAACATATTTGTAGATTAAATCTCCTGTGCAAAGTTATAAAGTATCATTTTTTATGCATAAAAACAGCCCAATTATTTATAGCTTTAGGACCACAGCTAAGATATGATACAGCCTATATAAAGTTAAGAAAATAGGTTGGTTAGTAGACTTTTGCACCAAAAACATCTTCAAAGCACGAACATCTTGCCCAAGGACACGTGTATGGACTGGAGTCGCCAGGGATCCAACAACTGACTTGTTGCTCTACCTTCTAACGGAGTCACAGCAAGGGAACTGAGCCATTGACCCCCAGATTACCCCTACCTATAACCCCTTTTATTTACATTCCTTCTAAATGGGACAAAAATTAACCAAACATGTTGTTTAAGTTGGATATAAAAGAGTCACAGTAGTGAGATACACATAGATAAAGTAGAGCATCGATTCAAAGCTCCTGCACATCAGATAACTTTAAAACATGTTGTTTGGTGTATTAAAAACCAGGAGAAGACAACCCATTTGCTTCTAAATAACTTAGTACTTACTCGGCACAGCATGTAACTGACCTGTTTATTAAAGACCACATAGATAACAGGGTTGTAGACTGCTGAAGCCTTTGAGAAACAGGACGGTATAGTCGCAAATCTCAGATCGAATGACTGCCCACGGTTGTTCACAACCCAAAGAGCAAAGGAGGCATATGGCATCCAGCACACCAAGAAGCCGAGCACCATGATCACCACCATCCTGGTCACTTCCCTCTCTGCCTTCTGGGTGGAGGCAGACTCAGCTTGGGCCTTGGCTGCCTGTTAATGTGGGATTGATCAGGGTCATGTTGGAAAGGTTACTTTGAAAAAAACCACAAGTCATGTGAATAAATAGAAGAGTTTACGTTGTGCTTTGATCTTGCAGATATTAATAATACTAAGCGTGTCAGTTTGAATGGTAAGTAGATCTGGCCTGTTAGATTTTGGCTTTGATAGGATATAAGACAGCATTTATTTAAGTATACATGTTTCTCAGTCATCAAGAGAATAATTTCAGTAGACCAAAACCATCTCATTTTGTCTCACCATTTTCAGTGTGATGAGCAGCTGGGAGTAGCAAAAGATAATCGTGGTCAAAGGAACAGCAAAGCAGAAGCAGAACAGGAACATCACATAGGACTCATTGTTGTATTTGTTGTTTGTGGTGTACCAGTCTGGCCCACAGGAGCACTGTAGGCCTTCTGGAATATACCTGCAAGGAAAAGTAGAAGCACGTTGTTTGTACAGTTCTACTTAAATGCATTGTGTTGCCAGCTGATTTTCTGAAGTATGTTGTGTCTGTTGCTTACCTGCTCCAGCCGAACAGTGGAGGAGCTGAGGCAAATACTGCAAAAAACCAAGTGAATGCACAGCAGGCTATAGCGTGGTCGGGCTTGAAAATAAAGTTACCGAGCGGCTTGCAAATCACAAGCCATCGCTCGAAAGCTATCACAGCAAGGGACCACAGGCTTACCATACCTGCAATGACAGGAAAACCCTTTAACTCCCTCTAGAAATCAGCATAAATAAGTCTATTAAAAGGGAGATGGGCTACAACGGATTTTTACAGTGTTGTCTGCAGCCAATGACTTACCACCGAGTGTTACCATGAAACCTTCGATCTTGCATGCTAGCGCACCAAAGATGAAATATCTGAATGAAAAAGTGCAGCAGGCAGTGAAGGAGCCCACAGTGGACACAAGAAGGTTTGCTGCTGCCAAGTTCAACAGGATGTAGTTGAGGTGGGATCGAAGTTTCTTGTATTGGATGGTGCATGCAATGGTAAGGGCGTTGATGAAAGTGCCAAAAATAAATATGAATAACATGAAAATTGCCATGGCGTAAAAGGTGGCAGTATCCCCCAAGTGGTCCTGTGGAACCAGAAAAGGGCTAAGTGACGTGATGTTGTTTGTGTCCAGGCTGACGGGTATCCAGAAGTCTTCTGGTAGCTCCATATCACGTTTACCCTTCATTTTGCTTATTTCGAACAACGTACTCCTGCTGATGTTACGGCTCAAATTAGGTATCGCGCAGGCTCTGCCAAATAATAAATTTAAGGAGCAGACATGAACGCTGTGCGGTTAGGAATTCTATCGTCTCTTGTCTTTATTGGCTGTGTGCGTCGTATTGACGTTTATAAAGGGTTTCATGACACTGATCGCTATAAAGTGGTTAATTGATTATTTAATTGACTACGTAATTAATTGACTAATTTAATTGCCTTCATAGCTTTTCATTTTATTAACTGGTGTTGATGCTTCTGTGGTTTCCAGTTCTGTGTTGCGTGCTGTGATGCTAAATTCTGAGATTTGGTTATTTGACAGATATCTGAACTAACAAGTATTTGAATCTGGGAACAAACACAAGCATATTTGGACTTCCAAAAATCTGTGCAAACCTAGATATGTTTTTGGCATCCAAACTTGGTTAAAGAGGTTAATCCCTCTTTCCTAAGGAAGTTCCCTGCCGGTCTTCACCTGCTAATCTGGTTTCCAATCACATTATATTTGATAATCTCTTGTTAAGTGGATTACACCCTATTTTGCATGGGGATTTAACTCAAGCTTTGTGTTACCTTCTTGGCATTTTGCTGCCTTTACTGAGCTTAAGGGAGCGTCTTTGTTGCACTAGCATGCAAGATTGAAGGTTTTATGGTAACACTCTGTGGTACGATTTAAGCTGGCGGGTTAATCGCAGAATTTGCTCATTGTCGTCCCAACGATCCGATACAGAGGAGGATGTGCATAAGCATACTTAAGAGGAAGAAAGTTAGTGGAGGAAAACAGAACTATTAAACTAGCTTGCTCAACACTTTCTTATTTCTAACTTTATTTCATTTTAATGGGCAAAAAAGTTGTAGACTATTTCATACAGGAAAAACAAAATTGCACAACCTCAGCAATTTGGTGTGTATGTGAATATTAACAAAATACAGCTATGATATGCAGCCAGTCAGCAGCAGTTTATAAAAAATCAACCTAATCACATGCATTTCCACTCGAAGCAGGTCCAACTCATGTTGAGGAGTCTTCATCCTTATTTCTGCTCATCCTCAGCATCTTTATTTAGTTTTTTTTTTAACATTGAAAAAAAGATGTTGATAAAATTTTTTGTTTCTATAGTTTATTTATATAAGCTGCTGTTTCCTGATGCATTGCAGCTGCTTTAATAAGACATTTTAGTTTAAACCTGTTTGTTAGTTTATATTATCTTTGAGATCTTTTAATTATGGAAAGGATAGGGACTTCTACAGACAGCAAGTTTCCAGAATGTGGAGACACGTGATGTCCATGCTGTTCTTTTGTGCTTGCCAAAAATTGGCAGGAGATCCTAAAGATCTGTTTATCAAGGACAACATGGACAACTAGGTTAAAGACTGCAGGGGATCTTGGAAAAGACAGACACTATAGAAGCAAATCTCAAATCAAAAGACTGATGGTGGTTGTTCACAAGTACAAAAGCAAAGCTGGGATGTATCATGTCAGGAAGCCCAGCACAAAGATCAACACCATCCTGGTCACCTTGTTGTTGGGCTTCAGGGTGGACGCAGATCCAGCTTGGGTCTTTGCTGCCTGTCAAGTAAGAAAACAAGATGACTTACATGGCTTCTGCATGTTCAGCAAGTCACCCATCTGCTTGTTTCATTACAGAAAATGTACCTTTGCATAGTATGTAGTATGTGTGATTTTCTCCACATCCACAGGAATGGGGCAGTTTTTGTGTGATGTTTAGTGCAGCATCTATTGTAGGTGTGCTGGAGTAAAGCAGCAGAGGGAGTGGGAATACATTTACAGGCCTGTCAAACATTTAAATACTTAATTAATTCAATGATTAAACAATTATTTATTCATTAAGTAAGCGACAGCATTAAGAGGGTTGTGGGTTTGAAACTGCATGGGGCCTTCCTCTGTGGAATTGTTCTTACTGTGCATGTGAGGCTTTTCTCAGGAAGTTCACCCCATATAACAAAAACCTATATGACAAGTTAATTAGTAGGTCTTAATTGGAATTTTATGTAACTTTGATCTTGTCACTCTCTGAAGTTGGCAGTCACCCTGTCCAGGCTGTACTCTGCCTCTCACAGTATCAGCTGACTTGACCCCTATGACTGTAACTGGATGTATTGATGGATTTATCCAGAAAAGGAAAAAGCAACTCCTCCAGGAATATCACCAGAAGCAAGAAATATAAAAATGAAAAATTAGAAGCCAATATATGTTTTTAGGGTATGCTCAACATAATGAACATGAAGTAATGGCTATCTACTGACAAACATGTTTCCACAGATAAGCAAACACGTTAGCGAGTGCCAATGCACAAGATGGTTCAATTAGTTCCACTATAGAGGGAAGGACACTGTTTTGGGATCTGCTAATCCAGGTACCAGCGCTATTACGACAGCAAATCACATTCAGTCTGATCTTGATTAACCTGCTTGCTGTTAGTATTAGGATGGATGATCTTGACCTTCATTATCGTATCAGGCTCAAGAAAGGATTATCCGATGTAGAGGATGGATCTCTGCAGACGGCAGAGTTTGGGCATTTTTTTCCACTTCAGAACAAATTACAGCAGGACAGATATAATGTTGATAGTCTCTTCATGACAAGTAGGTGAAGAAAGTGGGGAATATTGTCTTTGTGAGTTCTACTGTGGAAATGCACACTCACTGTAAAAAACAACAACAACAAAGAAACTGTGTAATTTAACAGTGTTTTCCTATTAACTCTCCAGGAATTTAAATATATTAAATATCAACAAAATTACAAATATAGACTGTGGACTTACAAGTCAAACCTGTAACTGTGAATGACGATTTTTTTCCCACATAGAAACACTATAAAAGAAAGACTATTCACAAATTCAGCTCGATTTCAGAAATATATAATTGTTTTAATGCTGTAAATACTGTACATATATGACATTTGATGCAATGAGTGAAAATTAATAGCAAAGGAAGTCAAAGTATAGGTTCTGAAATTTTGCATACATTTGTTTATTATTTAGCAGATATCTTGTGTAATTATAAAGCTTTTAAAGTAAAATAATGCTTTAGGTGTTAAAGCTGTAAGTTCCTAAACAGTAACAAGTAAACCCGCAATCTCATTATTGTAAAAGGACATTTGGACCAACCTTAAATCAGACAACTAATGCCAGAGTTTCACAAAGACTTGACCCAGACTGCTGTCTTTATTTGACAGATGTTGTTGTGAATGTGAATGACACATACAGTACAAGTACATATGAGAATTCTAAGGACTGTCTGCTGTACATGTGTTTATTATAAAGTAGTATATGTATATTTTTAAAAAAATAAAATTAATCAAAAATAGGTCATAAACACATTTAGTGTACACGTTGGTGGTTAGCACCCTGCCATCATCTCTGCACATCCTCCACCTGTGCCTTCAACACAAACACCTCTTATGCCCACCCAGCTCAGCCTGCTCTGGCCTGTGACGGTTCAGTTTTGGACCTTAAATAATAAAAGCATTGAGAACATTAAAAAAAAAGTATCCTACTTTGCTCCCTAGACTGCTGTCATTTCCTTATGAGGCATTTTATTTGGGGCAATGCCATTGTAATGAGCTTCTGCCAGCAATAAAGAAATAATATCAGTCTCCACCAGGTGGCATGCCATCCAGCTTCAGACTACCATACAAACCCACCAATTCATCCTCTCGAAATTTAGCGTATGAGAGGTCCAGAATTATTTGCCGTAGATGTCTTCTACCCCTAGATTCTTTACTTGGGACAATAACATGAAGTGAGGTAAATGGTTGTCTGTCTCTCTGTGTTTGCCCTGCAACACATTAGTGATCTGTCCAGAGGGTATTCTACCTTTTGCCCAGTGTGAGCTGGATAGGCTTCAGCCCCTGCAACCTTAAATTCAAACCAAAGAAGATGGATGGGCTATGGGTGGGTGGATGATGGATGGATATTATTGGCAGGTGATAGACGTACATTTAGGCAGTTACCATTCCAAACAGAAGGCACAAAAGTAGCCTGCTAAGAAATAGAATGGATAATTCCTTTGTCCAGACTCTTTCATAAGCAACAAGGTAAACCTAAAAGATGTGTTTTGACTCAAAAGTGGTCCACAGTCCACTGCATTCCAGTCTGAGATTAACTGATTTTTTTTTATTTTCCCATAAATAATAATAATGACAAATCTCACCGCCTATTGAAAAGGTGCAAATGGTGCATACAAACTCACCAGACTGCAAGAAATGTAGTGGCTGTAATAAAAGTAACTGGGTTTATTCCACCCCAATACCTAAATGAAACCAGCGCCCATGTTTGCATTTTCTTTGTCACTGTTGTCATTTTTCATCAGGTTAATATGGCTTTGTGTGTGATTAGGAAAGCAATTAAGATAACATCCATTTAGAACAGAGGGTAAATGTAAGACCATCAAGGATGTGACGCTGTTCCTGTCACTGTGTTACTGTGTTTGTACACCGGTGTGACCCTCTGTGCAAGTCCCTAAAATGAAGCATTTGGTAGAAAAAAAAGAAAACAAAAACATTTATGTACGTGTTCTGAAGATGCTCAGTGAAGATCTGTGGACGATCACAGGATGTGTGAACAAAAAACTAAATGATGTGCAATCTGGTGCATGATGTTTTCTTTTTAAATAACAAAATGCATAGAACTCCTACTTTACAACCTTGCTCATCATTTGTGACAACTCTGTGCTGTGACAAATCAACCCTTTACAAGATTATTTACCTTTAGAATTCCTGAATATAAGTTTATAAAGCCAAACAACCTCACAGATGTGGGCACAATATGAATATGAATGAGTCAGACAGCCTGCTGTAGTGGTGGGAGGGAAAAAAAATCCCTTCTCAAAATCCCGCTCAAAATCCTTGATCCGTGTCACTTGAGTGGCATCATGATCTCTTTAGGGTTTGAAAGCTCAGCTCTCCTGCCATTATCTAAGACTCTTAATGAGTGTAAACAATTACTGGCA